CCTGGCTACGCCTCTGGCCAGAACCTACAGTATGCACCCATTGTAATTAATTTTGAGATGTACATGAAACAGTTTCACACACCATAGAATAAAACAATCATAAACAACGTAACTGTATTTCTCATTTCTATTACAGGCATCAAAGTAATAATATACAAGAACTGAAGCAAAAATGTTCTTGCTGTAACAGCTGTATTCTATCATGACAGTTAACATTGATGTGTATGATCTTATTTGGGTGTAACAATGTGTAGTAATACAGTATCTGTAGTAGTAATGTTATCGCTACCAAAAGAAAATTGAAAAGAGATCAAAATGCCAAAGTAATGTCGCAGCTCAAGGGACTACAAAGAGATAATTATACCAGAATAATAACAGTTTTAATAGTTCAAAATGATTGGGTCATTCAAGAAAATATCCACACCTCTAATGGAACAGATGGGAGGTTTAGCTTCTTCCCACCTTTGGACATCCTAATATTTTTAATATTATCGGCAGTTGAGTTCTGCACACTTCAGACAGCACAATTTCTTTCTGTGGAGTTGGTGTTTATCTTTTCTGGAATGACTCATTGGGGATTGGTAGTTAATAATTATTCATTGAAGAATTTAAATTAAAATAATACAATTTCAACTGCATCATTGTGGTAGATAATTCTGCAATTAACAAGAATAGATTATATAGGTTATTCTAAAAGAGAAATAGTATGAGAAATCACATCAGGGGAAAATGAGGAATACAAAAGAAATATGTACTTAAGACCAGGCGGAGAAGGGGGGAATGGTCCCCCGACGGGGAAATTTATGAGACCAAGTGGATTTGATCAATTTGGGGGCGCTGATTTCGAAAATCGATGCCTCGTTTTCGCGATTAAAGCCTCGTTTTGGTGCAAAACCGATATCTGCCCGATTGAAGCGAAAAGCAATGAAGAATTTGCTCAATCTGGGCACCCTTGTCAAGTTTTGGGCGCTGAGTTGAAAATTTAAATTGTATTCCGACAATTAACTGGGTATTCCGCCTCATTTTCAAGATTTAAAGCCTCGTTTTGGTGAAAAATAGCGCTCTGCGCTATATATATATATATATATATATATATATATATATATATATATATATATATATACATGTTTAAAGATTTGTAATCCAGGCATATTATAATTAATTAAAGTTTTCCGGATTGAAATATACTTTTATTGAGCTTTCGACTCGGTACTTCGAGCCTTCTTCAGAATACTGAGATTAAAATTACATATGTACATTATTTAATTAAAGTTTAATTGCGGTGTTGCTAAGTTCTTGTATACGTCGAGACCGTCTAATTGACTGTTCCGTGGTTGATCTGATCTCATTGCTGGTTGAAGAATGCGTTGTCATGGTTGAGTGAATTAGTCTTCTGCTAGGGATGGCGTCATTGGAATGTTTGGATTGTTGTGTGGCCAATGTTGAAGGAAGTGTTATTTGGAAGTTAGTATTAGTCATACTAGTTGTTATTAGTAGGACATTTACGTGTTGTTTTAAGTTGTAAGTAAATAGTGGGAATTTCAACGTGTCGGTTATAATTGTATTACCGTCTATACTGTACCATGCCTCTTTTAATTCACGAGCGTGTTTTGTTTGTGCTCGTCCTAATAGTTCCGTTTCTGTCCAGTTGAAGGCATGGCAGTTGTCGTATGTGTAAGGTATCATGTATATAGCATTTTTTGTTTGTTTTGATGCTGTTTTGTCTTTGTGTTTTGTGAAATATGACCTAAGTTTATGTGTCGGTTTGTGTGCTACGTCAATGTTGAAAGGTCGCAATAATCTGGCGGTCATTTCAGATGTACTGTTTAAGTAAGATAGAGTTATTCTTGTCCTTGATTGTTCAGTTTGTTCGTTAGGTATGTTACTCTGTTGTTTGTTACGTATTTTTGTTAGTGGTTGCTGTTAAAATTCAGTATTTGGTCAGTGTGCGTTTTCTTACGGTAGACCTGTATATGTTAATCGTGCCGGCATCAGTTCTTGTCAACAAAATGTCAAGGAAAGCAAGTTGGTTGTTATCTTCTTCTTCTTTCGTGAATTTTATATTTTCTGTAGTATTGTTTATAGTATGTAAAATGTTGTCAGTCTTGTCTTTCTTAACTGTAGCAAGGACGTCGTCTACGTATCTGTTCCATGTTTTAATATCGTTATTGTTTTTTTGGTTTTTTTATATAAACATATTTATTTAGACACATTTTCTCCAAGAGCTCATAGCTCATTGTGGGAGATTATGTGTAAATATTTACAATATTTTTGAAATTTAGTAAAGTAAGAAAGAGATAAATAGATATAGAAGGAAATAGAAAGAAAAGAAAAGCATCGTCAATTAATCTTTAATCTTTAAGAGAATCGATTAGAATTAAGTATAAATAATTGAAAATTTCTAAATAATATTACGTTTTGTTAGTAACAGATCTCTTTTCTAGATCCTGCATGACTGCCTCGGCAAGGAAACTAGAAAGAGGAGATCCCATAGTTGTACCCAAAATTTGTCTGTAGTAGGAGTTTTGGAATGAAAATTTAGTGGAAAGACACAGATCAAGTAGTTCAAGAATGTCGTGTTTGTCTAGTTTAGTTCTGGTTTGCCACGATTCGTCGTAAGTACGCAGTTCGTTTGTGATGCGTTTTGCTGTGTCTAGTGGTATGGATGTGAAACGACGTCAAAAGATATCATGATTTCGTCTGGTTCAAGTTTAAGATTTTTAATATTAGTAAGGAAAGTATTCGCGTTGTTAATTGTATGAGGTGATGTTTTGACAAGAAGATGAAGGATCATACCAAGATATTTTGATAACTCGTATGTAGGTGATCCTGGGAGGGAGACAATAGGTCGTAGAGGAATGTTTTCTTTATGTATTTTCGGTAGTCCGTAAAATTTAGCAGTGGATGCATCGTTTGGTCGAATTCTCTTGTAGTTGGTTTCTTCCAATTTGTCTTTATCTTTCAGTTGTTTTTGTTTCATGTTGATACGATTAACCGTCGTTTTACTGGGGTCAATGTCAAGTGGTTGATAAGTTTCCGTGTCTTTCAGTAGGGTGTTTGCTTTATCGATATAATCAGATTTGTTCATGATTACGGTCATTCGTCCTTTGTCAGCTGGTAATATAATAATTTCGTCGTTGTCTTGTAGATCTTTGATTGCTTTCTGTTCTTCAGTGTCTAGTTTAACCGGTCGTTTATTATGCAGATTATAGTGGTTATATTTGGTGGCGATTGGCGAATATGTTCTTTGGTTTCATCAGTTAGTCCAGAGTTTTTAAGTGCAGATTCTAAGTCTGCGACATAATCTAATTTGTCAGCGTCTTTGGTATTGTAATTTAAGCCCTTCGCTAAACTGCGAGTTTGTTGCTCCGTGAATGGTTTATCTGAGATATTTTTAACCCAGGCGTCGGCGTTACTATGGTATTGTTTGTAGGACCTCGAGTTTTTAAATTTTTGTTCAAGTTGATTATGCCGTTTTGTTCCATATGCATTTGCCGTTTGTTTGATGTATATATATATATATATATATATATATATATATATATATATATATATATATATATATATATATATATATATATATATATATATATATATAAAAGAACAAAACGGCATAATCAACTTGAACAAAAATTTAAAAACTCGAGGTCCTACAAACAATACCATAGTAACGCAGTATTATAAATAATATATAATAATATATATTAAACGTTATAATATATAATATTAATATATAATAAACGTTTGAAAATCTGTAAAGTTGTTAATCCTCTTCCTCCATCATGTCATCAAAGTCGTCTTCCAGATCACTGTTTTGCACGAAATCAAGCTCATCCTCATCTTCTACTTCCTGGCCAATTAACAATTCGCTAACGTCGTCAGGGAAACAAACACTGCTCCAGATAACTTCCCCTCTTTCATCCCAGCCATGATTTGTGGGCTCATCCAGATCGAGGATCAAGTGGCTAGCTTTCCTGAAAATCGATGCTACATAGTTTGCACGGATGAAATGAAGCTTCAGATTGGTTTCACAAGGTGGCAAGAGGCTTATGTCGATTACTTTCTTCGCTCAGTGAATACTTTTATTGACACATTTTTAAACGGGCAACTTCCGCTTGCAGCTGTTTACATTCAATGGCAAAGTGGAAATATTTTCGCGCGTTTTTCCATGTTTATATCGCGACGTCGATTGTAATTTGTTAGCAACCTAAGCACTTGAGATATGGTTCCTTTACAGAGAAATAACAACTTTGATGTTGAAGCAGCGATTTTTTACCCAAACCAGCAAATTAAAACAAGAAAATCGTGAATTTGAAATATTTTGCCAAACCGCGAGAATTGATCGACGTGCTATCATAGCAAGATTTAAGTTAAATTTTCGTAATTACATCTAAATGTCATCACAGTAGGGCTAAATAAACTCTACGGAGATGTAAACATAAACGGCTTAGTTGCTTGTTTTCACGCAACAAAACATGACAGTTATGTCAACAATAGTTGCACTTATTTACACTACTGTTGGTCTATATGCACACTTCAAGTTTTTTCCTTTCCAACGATAAACGTCACGATATAAACATAAAAAACGCGCGAAAATGTTTTCATTTTATTGTTGGCCGTAAATGGCTGTAAACGAAATAAATAATTACAGTACAACGACTGCATTAAACGTAATTGAAATATTAAAAATTTAAATAGTGAAAACGAGGGTTTGTAACGTGAAAACGAGGCTTTAAAGTTTGAAAATGAGACTGGAGTATAATTAATGTTCAACTCAGCGCCCAAAAACTGACATAGGTGGCCTGATTGAGCAAATTCTTCATTACTTTTCGCTTCAATCGAGCAGATATCGGTTTTGCAACAAAACGAGGCTTTAATTGCGGAAACGAGGCTGAAGGCCCCGCCTAAAGCCCGTATACCATCGATTTTCAAACTCAGCACCCCCAAATTGACCAAATACACGTGGTCTCATGAATTTCCCCGTCGGGGGACCATTCCCCCCTTCTCCGCCTGGTCTTTTTTTTATATGTATGACACCAAAACCTAAAATAATAATAAATATAAAGGCCCCAAGCTCTTCGGCTGAAAAGTCGAGGTTTATTTGTACAACTTAGTCCATAGGTAGCCCAACAATCAGTGTTATTAATTCATTTCTGTCCAATAAAATCATACTACTACTTTGTCCCCGACTGCATTGTTTACGCGCGGTCAGATCATGTACGTATCCCTATAGTAATATAGGGATACGTACATGATCTGACCGCGCGTAAACAATGCAGTCGGGGACTAAGTAGGAGTATGATTTTATTGAACAGAAATGAATTAATAACACTGATTGTTGGGCTACCTATGCTTAGTCTTAGCTACAGTAGTTGCATCATCCTGCACTAACTAGAACCCCCGCCCAAGAACTGCAATCATAGTGATTCAAAAATTGTTAACCTAAGGTACTCCGACAGCAGAATGAGCTTCCTTGAGTTAACCTCTAGCTTTTGCATAAGTTAGTACAAAATATAAAATACAATAAATTCTCTTTGTTATTCCCCCAAAATATAGTGGTACTGGTAGCACATTATACTGTACTTTCATGTCATTATAAAATCAGTCCTGAGGATCAAATTAAGATAATTTGATATTTGTAAAATGCACAGTTTCGCACCACCTACAGAAAATTATAAATTTTCAAAATAGTATCATGAAATACAAACTGCAGGATTATTCCAGAGGGCTTATTCAAAACATCATAAAATATGCAACAAATAGAGCATGTAAAACAACAGATCAAAACACCATTTTGCTCACGATTTAAATGAAACAAAAGTTTATTACTTTGTACAACAAGGCTTCAGAGACCTTTACATACTTGTGGTTAAAATATAATACATTGTACCACAGTTAAACCCAACAATTTTTTAGAAAATTTTCTCGAGTGTGTGAAGTTTATATGAGAAATATTTTACCTGTAGTTGCGGCTTCAAATATCGTCCTTGCCGATGTATTTTGAGGTTTTCTGTCTTTTGAGGTCGAGAATATAATGTGTATGACTTGCACACATTTGATTTGGTCAAAGGTCCAAAAAATATGAAAAAATAAAAAAAATACGGGAATATACTGCAAAGACTTCAACAAGCTAAAATATTTTAATAAGAACCAGGGGGGGGGGGGTGAAAGTCGTAGCGGGCTCAAAATTGAGCCTGGTCAGTGGTAATTACCATGAGCCGGAGGAACCATATGGCGTCATTCTGGCGTCAGCAAAGGCCGAAATCCGTCATGTTTTTGGCGACACTTTTTTATGCTGAGCCGGTCCCCCAGTAATATAGTATAGCTCAGTGTCTAATAAACGCTCAAGACAATACAAGATAAGTCGTACGTCATTATAACATTTCTTAATTATGAAATCAATGAAAACAATGAAAACTGCAATGTTACCACATTTCTTAATGATAAATTCAATCCTCAACAAAAACGAATATATTGCAAATTTTAATCACACAACTTTATTCAATCACACAAGCAACATAACACACGTACTAATTACATCAATTTTTGTTAACTACGAAATTAGCCATACCAACTCCATACTCTCTAGCAGCTTTTGAAAACGTAAAAATCTATAAAAAGATGCCGGCGATCCCTTACGAATACGAGAAGCATATTTCCCTAGCAATTGTAATCAACTACCAAACAACATGCAGCCACATTAACCGCGACGCAACTCACCCTCTATCCGATTTATCCAAAGGGTTTAACGCCAATGAACCACTCTTTTCGTCAAGATACCGCTTCAAACCGGCGACTATACCGTACAAACTACGCGGTGGATATTTCTGGCCATCTCTTCGCACAACTTCTTGTACAAACTTCCCCAGCCAGTACGCCATGCTTTCGCCATTCATTTCTTGAAAAAGCGTGTCAACAGTTTGAACATTATCATCAACTTCGCTGCTTGTCTCGCCTTTCGTTGCTCTGTAATACTGCCATTCCTTAAAAACCTCGACAGCCCACTTATTCTTGTATCGAGTAGAAGAAGGAATGGCTGTAGGAATGGCTTCTGTCTCTTCCGTGAATGTCCTAGCTTTTCCAAATGAACGGCCATCTTTCCTTGCCGAATTCATACTAAACACGTTAACGTTATGTATAATAATTTCAACAACACGCCTCTCATATAATGATACGACCGTCTAATTATCGAATTGTAAAACAATAGACTATTGTCGATTGAGAAGTAATTTCATAAACTCGTGGCTCGTGTTTTACCAGGGTTTCCAAACACTTGAGAACAATCGAATTCATTCGACCGTTCACCAAGCGATATTCATTTTTCTCTTGAAGTTGCAAAACACTCAGGACAATAAAAACCACTCGGCCGTTCTGGCCTCGTGTTTTCATTGTCTTT